AATTCTTAGATCCTGGGATTCTGAGATTCTGTGATTCTTAGATCCTGGGATTCTGAGATTCTGAGATTCTGAGATTCCGAGATTCTGAGATTTTGAGATTCTGAGATTCTGAGATTCTGAGATTCTGAGATTCTGAAATTTCGAGATTCTGAGATTTTGAGATTCTGAGATTCTGAGATTCTGAGATTCTGAGATTCTGAGATTCTGAGATTCTGAGATTCTGAGATTCTGAGATTCTGAGATTCTGAGATTCTGAGATTCCGAGATTCTGAAATTCTGAGATTCTGAGATTTTGAGATTTTCAAATTCTGGAAATCTCAAGTTCTGAAATTTTGAAATTTTGATTTTCCGATATTTAAAACGTGAACTCATAATTTTTTTCGAAATCGTGACTAACCAATTTTTCAAAATTATTCATTTTGTTTTTTTTTTCAAAAAAGTAGGGTTCTGATTTCTGAGTTTTCTGAAAATTCTGAAACTATTTTTTTCAGAATTCTTTGATCTGGAAAGCTGATTTGTCCGGCGGATCCAACGGAGATCGGAACGTTTCGATGGAGTTCAAAGTGGGTTTTTAAAAAATGATAGTTCAATTTTATTGATTTTTTCAATAATTTGAAATCTGTTTAATACAAAAAAAAAACTATCGCATTTTCAGAACGCCCCTTCAGCAGCTCTATCGACGTTTTCACAAATTCTAAAAATTGGGACAAGTACAGTAAGAAAAATATCAATTTTGTTGAAATTATTCTAAAAATTTTCAGATGGATTCAACGGATTTTCCGGGGGATGTCGATGGACTTCGGCTGGAAATTTCAGAGAACTTGATTGTTTTTTGTGATCTTTCTTTCCTTTTTTTCGTTGCGCGGGATTTTCTCCGGTTTTCGTGGTTTCTTGTCTTCGTTGTCCTCTCAGGTTTTGGGTTTTAGCGGTCGGTGTTTTGGGATTTGGTGTTGGATTAGCAGCTAGTTAAATTCGTGAAGGCGTGATATAAAATTTGCCGGAACGTTTGGACTTTAATCTAAAAGTTGGACTATAATCTAAAATTGGACTATAATTTGTAAATTGGACTAAAAATTGGACTAGTGTTTGGATTAAAACCGAAAAAATGGACTATCAAAAATTACAGTAACCAAAAACTAACAAAAAATATGATTATCAAAAGTAAAGGTTTGAAAAATGTGTAAGAAGAGTTTTAAAAAGGTTTGAAAGGTGTAAAAAATGGAAAAGGTCTAAACTAAGTGTTAAAAAAAGGTGTCGAATGTTCGAAAAATCGAAGGTCAAAGGTGTAAAATTTATAATGGTAAAAGTCAATAAACGATTTAACCTGTACATGTTGTTTTGTTTTTTGTGTTGTCAGAATAATACGAAATAAGCTCCGCCGTGCCTGTTTACCCCTTCATTAAGCTGAAACCGATTAAGCTGAAACCTGGACAGATAGATCAGAACTGACCCGAACTTTTTTTTTCGAAATTCTGATTTTGAAGTCTTCTGAAGACGTTCCTAGGTTTCACCACAGTGAAGGGTGGAGGCGAGAGATGACGAGGGAGAAAGAGAAATGGGAAAGGGAGCAGAAAATCCCACACTGGAGCCCGGGTACTGCAGATCGAGCTTTGGAGCCCGGATCCTGGAGCCCGGGTACTAGAGCCCCGGTACAGTAACCCGTGTACTGCTAACTTCAAAGACGCATATCTCTAAAACTAAAAGAGCTAGACTATTTTTGTAAATTAATAAAGTGTAGGAAACCTAATTTTACACATTTTCATAACATAAAACTTTGTGCTAGCTACAGTAGTTTTAGAGTTATGCGCCTTTCTGAAACTCTTATAATTCGAGGATCTGAGATTCTGAAAATCCGAAATTTAAAGATTCTGAAAGTTAATGTTCTTAAATTCCGAAATGACGAAGTTTTGAAATTCTTAAAATCGAAATTCTTAGATCCTGGGATTCTGAGATTCTGTGATTCTTAGATCCTGGGATTCTGAGATTCTGAGATTCTGAGATTCCGAGATTCTGAGATTTTGAGATTCTGAGATTCTGAGATTCTGAGATTCTGAGATTCTGAAACCTGGACAGATAGATCAGAACTGACCCGAACTTTTTTTTTCGAAATTCTGATTTTGAAGTCTTCTGAAGACGTTCCTAGGTTTCACCACAGTGAAGGGTGGAGGCGAGAGATGACGAGGGAGAAAGAGAAATGGGAAAGGGAGCAGAAAATCCCACACTGGAGCCCGGGTACTGCAGATCGAGCTTTGGAGCCCGGATCCTGGAGCCCGGGTACTAGAGCCCCGGTACAGTAACCCGTGTACTGCTAACTTCAAAGACGCATATCTCTAAAACTAAAAGAGCTAGACTATTTTTGTAAATTAATAAAGTGTAGGAAACCTAATTTTACACATTTTCATAACATAAAACTTTGTGCTAGCTACAGTAGTTTTAGAGTTATGCGCCTTTAAAATTTGCTGAACCCCTTCGGCGGGCGCAGAAGAGGGGAGGACTGGGGTTTTTGAGCAGGCCAACTTTAAAGGCACATATCTCTAAAACTAAAAGAGCTAGACTATTTTTGTAAACGAATAAAATGTAGGAAACTTAATTTCACACATTTTCATAGTTTATATTTATAATTTTCATCAATTTCGATGCAAATTTTCGAGAAAAGTAGCCGGGAAAATAGGAAGGCGCTCCAAAAGTACATTGTTGGAACAATAGAAAGACGGGCCCTTCTAATACAGGTTTTACAGTAAGCGTTAAAAATTATTAGTTTGAATATCTCAAAATTCATTAAAAAAATATCGTATTTTAAAATTGAGAGAGGGACATTAGAAAAATTCTGATACAGGGAGAAATTGAGACCACCATTGTTTCTCGACCATTCTCATTTCATCCAGAATCGCTGCTGCTGACTCTCTTGTGTTTTTCGTCGCTTTTCGACTGTTTCGATAATATTCCGATATAGTTTTTTTTCCAATTCCACAATTCTTTCGATTCCAAAAAGCATTCGACATTGATATAAGTGTGCATTAACAGAAAACCAAAGTGAATCGATTGATCCATAGAGTGTGCGGAATTAGGCTTAGGCTTAGGCGGAATTCTTGCAGAAAGAATTCTTGCAGAAACATGTCTTTCACTCGTTAATTGCTATGTTTTTCGCCAAAATAGGTGATATTGAGATTTTTTTTATTTCACTTTGTAATTATTGTAAAAATCGTATTTTCAGGTGGAGTAAAAGGTAAGTTGGTAAGTATACAATAATTACAAAGTTTAAATTATAAAAATTTTCAATTTTTCATGTAATTTCAAAAAAGTGAAAGTGAGACATTTTTTGAACAAATGAAAAAAAAACAATTTTTAGCGAATTTTTTCCCATTTTCTTCTGTTTTTGATTTCATATCAAATTTAAATGGAAACTGCCATAAGTCTTTTTCAAAACCAAAACATTGAGTTTCGAAAAATCAGTAATGTGTCGTTCAAAATATAAAAGAATATGGAATAATAAAGGAAAAGTACGAAATCGAAAGACCTGAACAAAATCACATCACAATAGAACTTAACTGATACTTCTAGGAACCCCCAACCAACGTTTTAGTTCATTTCATCGAGTGCCAGCAAGCCAGGCGAGGAGATGCTTTGCGGCGGCGGTGTACCCCATATGCCCCGTATATGCCCCATACCGCCGTCCTTTCCCTGTACCCTATCGGCGCGTCCTCCGTCGCCCATCCATTATGCGTATGCGCGCCCAGGACCTGTGGAGCATTCGACTGCAGATCGAGAGGTCCCCGGTTCAACTCCGGGTGACCCCTAGTTCTTTTTTCTTTTTTTAAAGAACACATGGAATACTATATAGGGATTTGTTTCTGTTTTTACAGCTGTTTATATGTGGAAACACAAAAAAGATTCAATTATTAAAATAGTTTATTCTGTACACTTTATTAGTGAATCCAAAGTTTTGGGTGTGGATACCGTATGAGCCTATCTGAATTTTTGAATTTCCGCGCGTGAACTTCTCCCGTGTTTCACCCGCTTCTTCCAGTCATCTGAATCACCTGGTTCCTGGCATCACGTGGCTGCTGAGCATCAGAATATTTCTAAAGTCTCGCCTCCTCGAAAATGGCCGCAACACAGGAGAGAGAATTGACTGTAAAAGAAGAAAAGTGAGTTTTCATGGACTGTAAACCCCCCCCCACAATATGGAATAATAAAGGAAAAGTACCAAATCNAAAGACCTGAACAAAATCACATCACAATAGAACTTAACTGATACTTCTAGGAACCCCCAACCAACGTTTTAGTTCATTTCATCGAGTGCCAGCAAGCCAGGCGAGGAGATGCTTTGCGGCGGCGGTGTGCCCCATATGCCCCGTATATGCCCCATACCGCCGTCCTTTCCCTGTACCCTATCGGCGCGTCCTCCGTCGCCCATCCATTATGCGTATGCGCGCCC